TACCTTCTCCACATATATTCCTGGGTAGGGGAAAGAAAAAAGAATCAACAGTTGTGTTATCCAAACCTTATAAACTGCTGGGATAACAGCCAATGTATCCAAGCTGCATTCTGCAGCTTGCATCTTATTTTTTCGCATTTTGTTTCACCTGCCTATAAGAGTAAGTAAAATAGCTTAATGTAATATCTAAGCCCACCATTATTCTTTATAGTTTGTGAACAAGACAGAATTTTAAGCCATATTGGAACTAGAGTTATACCTAACAAATCTTGCATACTTATGGAGAAATAAATTTTAAAAACAGCAAAGAAATAATTTTAAGTAAAATATTTAAATATTTTTGTCTGCTTTGCTCCTTTGGAAGGAGGAGTATTTGGGTTCTGTATAATCTATGCTTTAATTAGCTCCAATTTAACATAACGTGATATGGAAATATTCCTAACAAACCAAATTTCTCCAAGTATCTTAACATAAACAAGAAACTCCAAAATATGCCTTGGTGCAAATATTTTATTGACTCACTTAGACATGTTCATTCATACATTTCTGATGAAAATACCATCAGCTTGCCACAAAGCATTAAAGCACAATAAATCCAATATTTAAACATTTACAGCATTTTATTTTTGTAATTTCTTCTCCACCTAAACAAGTATCTGAGCAGCAGACATGTATTAAGAAAAATGGAGGACCCATCCTGTAAAAATGCAGACATTTATATTAACTGTACTTCCAGGAATACAAATGACAAAAATAGTTTACTCGAAGAAAATGAGGCTCAAGTCTTTGGATTTAAAAAACAAAAACAACCCCCCCTCCCAAACAGCATTTAAGAAGACCTGGCCTTCTTGGCATTTCTGGGAAGAGTCTTATAAACACTTTGCAAACATGAAAAAGGTAAGCCTAGAAGATATTGCTAGTTGGTGATTGGCAGTTTTTAGGGGAGACAAGCAAGGAAAAATTGTATCTGGTGTAAAGCAATACCATAAGCCTGCCAGCATTTCTATTGAACTGCATTTAATACCTGTGCTGGCAAAAGTACGGGACTGTAAGTCCAATATTACCAGCCTGCATTTCTAGAAAGACTCTTTTAGCGAAGACACTTTTTAGCAAATTACAAGGACTGATAGTACTTATCCCAGGGTGGCTATATTAAGTAAGCCTACTAGGAAATGCATTATAACTCTTACACCAGATGTTTTCAAGGCAGGAATATACACAAACAAAATGTTATGTCTGTAACAGTCCTTTATAAGGCTATAAAACCTGATAATGCCAAAAGCCTGAGACAAATGCCAATTTCAGGAAACCCACCTACTTGGCAAAGGACCGTATTTGCTCTGTTTATTTTGCATGCTAATATTTCCCACAGCATCTCTGTTCTTAGGCATTCTGCATTTCTTTGCCGATCTTGTAGCTGAGAATTTTGTTCCAGTCAATTTTAGTACGGGTGACTGGTAGCTGGCGACGCAAGGCTTTGAATGTAGTATCTGACATTGTCTGATAATTTTCACTGATTGCTGTCTGCAAATAATTCAGTGGGTTAGAGGTTAGAATGTCAAATGTACATATTTATAATGTATACTTGTTAACTACTAACAGATGTTTAAGCCATTCTTCTATGCACATTGCCAGATTAGTTAAAGCAAGATAAAAGTAGATTCTCTTTATTTCCTCAGTGCATGCTCTGCTTAGATAGATCATTTCCCCATGCAGAAAAAGGAGTGCTGGTATACCCTTCCAAATAATCCCATTTTCCAAGAGGGGCAGAGTGCCTCTGCCTGAATTGAGAAAAATTAACCTATGGATGGCATGGTAAATTTACTTTTTCTGAAGAACTGTCACCTGAAATCATCCAATCCAATGACTGAGGTATGTTAAGAAGAGAAAATAAAATTGCCCAGAAGCAATTACTTGCTTCCATCTTCAAGCACAGACCTTAGAGAAGATCCCCAAGCCCTGTTCTCAGGAAGGGAATTAGATGAACTGAGCCATATAGCAGCAATAAGAACTGCTAAGCCTTACTGACAACTTGTGCATCAACAAATCACCAGCCCCGATGATGATAACCCTTCAACCCAAAAGGTATTAAGGAACTTGAAGCCGAGAGTGTGCATCTTCAACTAACATATACAACCTGTCTTTACATTCAGCCTTCTATAGTTGAAGACTGGAAAGTTGCCAATGTAACTTCAATTTTTAAGAAAGGCCTACAGGGAGATCAAGAAATTATAGATCTGTCAACTTAATATTCATTTCAGAGATGACAGTGGAAATTACTACTAAAAATAACATTACCAAACATTTGGAGACACAATCCAACATAGCTTCACTAAGTCTTACGACTGGTACTTTTTAATGAACTGGAATTGCGTATGATGAGTGAAATAAGTATCTGATTATTAATTTAGATAACCTGCTTATTTTATTTGGAAAACTCATGTTGATCCGCAAGATGCAGCTCTAATTTAATTATACCAGACTTGAGAACTCTATTAAAGGACAGCTGTATTGAAACTTTGAGTCAATCTGTGTGATTGTTGTATGTGTCGATTGTTGTAGTGCATACTGTTGCTTACTGTAGTAATTGTATCCACTGGGGACAAAAATTTTGGGATGGAAAGAATTAAGTTCTATGTCCTCGCTTAATAGAGAACTCCAAAAGAAATAGGATGTGATTGAAAATGCATTTTTATAATATTAATAATAAGAAATATATTCATTTTATCTTACCTGATACTCATTTTCTGCCTGTTCTATGATTTTAATAAATTCTTTTGCTGTTTGGACATCATTCTACAAAAACAGAATGTAAATATTAGTCTTTTACACTGTATGATTCTTCAGAATTTTTTTTATGTTTTAGCTGATGGAATTATTATTTATTTATTTATTTATATTTGGATTTATATCCCGCCCTTCTCCCGTAGGACTCAGGGCGGCTGACAATCTATTTAAAATACATACAAAACAATACAAATTTAAAATTAATTAAAAGGAGTATTTAAATATTTGTCGAATTTTAAAATATAATTAAAACCCCCCTAAAAATTACCCTAGGCCAGTCCTGCAAGCTGGAATAACCAAGTCTTGAGGGCGCGGCGAAAGGAAGGGAGATCAGGGATAACCCTGATCTCTGGGGGCAGTTCATTCCAGAGGGTGGGAGCTCCCACAGAGAAGGCCCTCCCCCTTGGGGTCGC